TTTATGGATCTCCATCCATCAAGAGCTTCCTAAGATTTGCTAAGTCGCTCCATCTAATCTAACCAGAGAAATTTATACATTGGTTATTTACAGGTTTCTTAATTAGAGCGCATTTCGTTATAACATTAAATCAAACGTTTCCACACGGCAAACAAAATTGGTTATAACAAGTGGCTCAAACCTGAATGCCACCAAAAAGAAGGGCCATCACTGACACGGTCGAGATTTAAGCATACGACAAGATATCGCCGCCAAGAAAGTCGCCCGCGGAAGAAACTCGCTGATGTCGCAGGTAAGAAACTGTTGTTTTTTCTTTCAACCAGTAACGTAAACGTACACGTTCGACTGATTTAATTACTCTACAAAGCTATCTTATTTTTTTAGTTAGGTGTGCATGCGCACGGCGGGCGCGCCGCGCGCGCGTAGTGTGTTGTGTGTTGTGTGGTGTGTGTGTTGTTGGTGTGTTGTGTGGGTGTGGTTGGGTGTGCGTGTAGTGTATGTGATGTGTGATGTCTATGGTGTGCGTGTAGTGGATAGGTTGCGTGTAATGCGTGGGTGGGTGTGTGTGGTGTGGTGTGTGTGTGTGTGTGTGTGTGTGTGTGTGTGGTGTGTGTGTGTGTGTTGTGTGTTCCGCGCGTTTGTCTGGGTGGGTTGTGGGTGTGTATGTATGTAAGTCACAAGGACAATCCCTTCAGTCGTGTCGGCGTCTACACGGTCAAAGGACTTCTTCAGTCACGGCCAGGTTTCTACTTCACTGCTAGCCGCGTGGGAAGTGCCATGCCGGCTAAAGATTCTAGTGTAGACGCAAGGACAAACTAAACGTTTCATTCATGACTCGCGCGTCTACACAGAAGTTCTGACCACCTAACGGGGCATGGACTAGTAAGTATATTGTATTATATATAATATATATATAATATAAGTATATGTACACCCATCGTAGTAGAAACATATGGAACCATGTAGCATATGGAAATAATATAGAAAAAAATGAAGTATCAAATTTTAATTTTGACACGTAAATTCTCATCTTCTCGCGCTCTTCTTTCCTCGCTCTCTTCTCTCTTCTCTCTCTCTCTCTCTCTCTCTCTATATAGATATATATTATATATATATAATATATAAGAGAGAGAGAGAGAGAGAGAGAGAGGAGAGAGGGAGAGAAGAGAAAGATCGAGAGGAGCAGAGGAGCGCGCTCTCTTCGTCCTCCTCTCTCTCTATCTCTCTCTCTATATCTATAATATATATATATAGTATATATATATATATATATATATATATAGAGACGAGAGAGAGAAGAGAGAGAGAGAGGGAGAAGAGACGAGAGAGAGAAGAGAGAGAGACGGAGAGAGAGAGGACGAGAGAGTGAGAGAGAAGAGAGAGAGAGAGAGGGGCCGAGAGAGTGAGAGAGGAGAGAAGAGGAGAAGAGCAAGCGGAGATGAGAGAGAGAGAGAGAGAGAGAGACGAGAGAGAGACTGCAGAGGGCGAGAAGAGCATTAGACACGCAGCTAACAATACATTATGTATATGATAACATAACAGCTCTAGCTTCGCAGTAACAGGTAGATAGAATAATACACATGCAGTCATGTCATCGCACCTGCGGTATTGTGTGGATATTTTTTCCGCTACCGGGCGGCGAAACAGAGAAACCAATGGCAAGGCCTAAGCGTGGAAATGGCAGCGCCAATGTGCGGTTGTGGTGTTGTATTCGAATGTGTTTTTTCCCCACACCCCCAGCGACGAGCAATTACGATGAATCGTAGATAGGAAAGCACGGTTGCCGTTCGAAAGAAAGACGGGAGTTTATTCCGCGGAAGGGATCGAAGAGGGAGGGATGTTACAAAAAGGGACACCGTTTTCCGTTCAGCAGGAGGATAGGCCAAACTTGCCATCTTTGTGTGTCGTCCGGAGCGGAAAGTGACGGACGAATCGCCCAGTAACACGAACGTTCACGAGGTTGAACGATCTTCCCCCCTCTCTCTCTCTCTCCTCTTTCATCAGCTCTCTCTCCTCCTCTCGCTCTTTTTTCTCTCTCTCATCTCTCTCACGCTCGCTGCTCTCTCTCTCTCTCGCTCACTCTCTTCTCTCTATCTATTAGACACGTTGCAACAACCACCTATACTTGTGAGTAGGTCTATAAACACACGCTCAACCAACCACCGATAGTTCAAGTCAATGTTATAACACACTCGCACCAGCAGCTAGCAGTTGTCTTTTGCAATTATAACACACATTACACCAACCACTGTATAGTTGAAGTCGAGAGGTATAACACATGCTCAACAACCACATATAGTTGTTATTAAGTAATCATATGAAATCAGCACCAACACACACTCTACAGACGATATTCTCTACGCATTGTGACGGCGTGCGCCGCGCGCGTATATATGAAAACCGCCGTTCTGCGCGACCCCAGCTCAACAGGAGATGCGCATGGCAATTCTAATTCGGAATACAACCGGTTGCGCGTGCGTGCGTGTGCGTGCATACGTATGCGCGTGCATACGTATGCGCGTGCAGACTCGCGCGTGATGTGTGCGCGCGTGCGTGCTTGAAGCATGCTAGCGAAAGGATAATATATATATTAGGAGCGGGCGATAATATAATCTTACTATAAATTGGGCGAATTCGGTCTGTGTGTGTGTGCGTTTGTTGTGTCCCGGCTGACCGGCGAGTGTCCGCACCGCCCTCAACGGATCCTCTCAAAACTTGTCGCGACGTCTTACAGAGCATAATACGTTTGCATGGGCTATTTGTTTCAGATTTTATTTTTTCACATTCCACGTCTCAAAATAATTAAAATGGTGGGAAATGTTTGCACAAACGCGGTGCAACGTCATACACACTTAAAACACAATCAAAATGTAAAGAACAATGTATAACAATGCGCTCGCATGGTCTAATTTTATGAATCGCCATCCATAAGCTGTGGACACACTACGCGACTTTTCATGGCCGATCGAGCCGGCGGCATCCAGTCGGCGACTCTGTGGAATTGTTCATCACGCTGATTGGCCTGATGAATTGTACAATCGGCCGACTCGATCGCAGACCCGGGCACATACGCGAATTGTAAGTTTCGCGCGACTCAAATAATTATCAAACATGTTTTGGAATCGCCAATCGGGCGACGTCGCGGACCGGCGACTGGAAAATCGATGCGACTCACTGGACACACTACGGCGATTTTTCATGCGATCGAGCCGCCGGCTCGCGTCGCCGGCTCGATCGCTATGAAAAATCGCTAGTGTGTCCACCTTTAAGGAGCTCTTAAGATTTTCTTAAGGTCGCTCCATCTAATCTTAGGGCCCGTCAAACCAGAGCGTATGCTGAAACCTATGAAGTTGGGTGTAAAAATATTTTTATACGCACCAAACGAACCCAAAACAAATACCACATTTGCAATTTCTAGCCGTATTCAACCTAATGGGTTTGCGTGAGTTGCGTGTGGGTTTGCTGTGGTTGGGATGGGTGCGTGTGAGTTTGCGAACTGAACTTATGATCCCAAATATCTTGCGATCACTGCGTTTACGAGTTGCCGTGCGAGTGCGGTGTGTGGGGGGGGGAAAGGGGGTTTTTTTTTGCCGTTCAAAACTTACAAGGTTGCGTTGGACCTGCGTGCTTAGTTGCGTGTGAGTGCGTTCAAAACTTACAAGTGGGCGTTGGACCGCGTGCTAGTTGCGGGCTATTGCGAATATCGCGGGCACGTGGTAAAACTGTAATAAACCTATAAAAACCTATAAAGTTCTATAAAACCTATAAAACATATAAAAACCTATAAAAAGTTCCCTGTAATATAAAAACCTGTTAATAATAAAAACCTGTAATAACGGTAAAACTGCATGTCGGAGTACTTGGTACCCGAGGCCAGGTGCCGCAAAGTGACTGCCAGCTTCAGGCCAGGGTCCAGGGGCAACCTGTACTTGGTGGTTTGCTTGGTGATGCGAGGACCAACTCTCCGTAGCAGCTCATCGTACATCTCGGGGGGCATCCTCATGAAGTTCTTGAATGCACCTTGGTCTTCGTTCGGGAGCTCCACCAGAAGCTGGTCGTAGAGACCAAAGTCAAGGCGCCTGCTAATCTATGGTCTAACCCACACTCTTCTTCTTCTTCTTCTCCCCCTTCTGTTTATTCTATTCTGTATGTGTTGGAGTGCTAAATTGACCAGATTAAACTAATATCCAATAACAGCAAGAGGTAGCTCCATGTTGTCACCTCGGAGGTCCACCAACAACTGACACCGATCTAGAAAAGTCCAATTATTTATACGTATACGTATTTCTCAACACGCATGTAGTACGCAACTAACACGCAACTAATAGGTTGAGGATACGCTGGGAATACGCATAATAGGTTGGGGGTACGCTACACACGCAACATGATCGCAACAGGCACGCAACACGATCGCAACATGATCGCAACAGTTACGCAACACATTCGCAACATGTACGCTACCAAAACCTGGCCAGATACTTCAAATTTGGACCTGCGATCACCTGCGTTCATAACTTATGAGTTGCGTACCTGTTGCGATCGTGTTGCGATCGTGTTCCGTGCATAGCGTACCTGTTGCGTCCCTGTTGCGTATAAATTGATCGCAGACATTCGCAGAGAATTATTGAACAGTTCAAAATTTCTGAACTTACTCTGCGTGTGTCTGCGATCACCTGCGTGCTTGTTGCGTACTTCAAACCTATAAAACCTATTAGTTGCGTGTGAGTTGCGTTCGGAACTTATACCCACTATTTTTTATTCGCAACCATACGCAACTGGTGATCGCTATGGTGTGACGGCACCTTTAATATCAATTGCATTTTAATTACAATGTAATTAACACAGATCATTTGCGTAGTAAAATGTTTTTAATCTGTGAGATCACAATGTTCACACCAGATTGTTTATATCAATCAACCGATTCTATATTCTCTCGTAGTGCTTTGTCTGCGCTTCTCGTTCTATCATAATCTGTAATGTGATGTTATTTGTTTGATCAGGGGAGGCACTGTTCTCGTAATAGACATCGGTCGGTTGAGGCTGGATAGCCATCTCCAGCCAAAGAATGCTTCACTTGAGGTAAGGGCATACATCCAGTAGTTCTACCATCTCAGACGGGGCCCATAGCATGAGACACTGCAAGAAATCCTATTATATTTGTGCAGCGTATATCACAATGCGCACATACGGGGCCTTTTCGAGTCGCTGGAAATCTTTCTAACGGAAGTTCGATTCAGCGAACAAAGGCTGCTGCTTCCCGAGGCACCCGCATGCGTTGTAAATGGAGACCGGCGTTTTGAGGAAATGAAATTCAGTTAACTGTTTTATTAGCATTGATTTACAATACTTACTGTATCATTCATTTGGTGTGTCAACCAGTGCATTTATTTTATTGTCTGTATTGGCTATTTTTCTTTTGTTTTCTCCCTCTCACCTAACAATCCATTATGTCGAAGGTATTGGGTCCAATAACAACGTTGTACTGTTTTATTGTAGGATGCAACCATGACAGAGATAGAAGAACGTTTATATGACAAGTTCAGTCTAAGCCTCTCCGGCCTACAGGTTCTCTTTGCTTATCCTGGTAGGTTTCCCCTTTCTTGTTGACAACCGTAGTTACACACAAGCGCAGCCAGTGATAGAGGCACTTTTATATAAACCTCTACTAACGGAATAATAGCGAAAAGAGAAGGAATTAGTGCATGAAGAAATCTGTGCTGTTAGGCTGTTTCTATAGAACTTAGAAGAGAGAATATTTCACCTGCCTCGGCCATATTCAACACATCTAACACATGTTCTTAAATTATTGGTATTCATATTGCCACATTTGACCTATACCCACCTAGGGAGTGCATTTTTCTTTACTGGTGGCAGTCAATTATTACTTAAATAACAAATACTTAGTGTGAAGCTATATTTAATCTTAACATGCTGAATTAACAGCATTGTGTTGTATTTAAGTTGGATGGTTGTCTATGCACTTGGACACCCTCTGGAATGCTGGGAAATTTCCCAGCTTCACAGTCACTGCATGTCTGAAGGGTCTGTTGTGTTTAAACGCACATTGTGTAATTTCTTAAAGGTGCGGACTGGCATTCGGCTCAGCTGGAGCAGGAGTCTGAAATGCATATTATACCCAGCCTCATTCTGCAGATGAATCTATTCAACAGCATCAAGCAAGATGTCACTGCCATGCCCAAGTACGTACGCACACATAAAGTCTGAGAGTAGCCCAGCATTATGCCTACTAAAATCCTCATATTACAGTACACAATCTATTATCCGAAACCCTTGGGACCAGGCACGTTTCGGAATTCGGAATAGTAGTACAGTACAGATATACATACCGTATATCCTGCAACTAGCCAGTACTAAAACCCAGGTTTTCAAGAGGCCAATTGCTGTACCGGTACAGTACAATAAGGAGGTCGTCTGCACACCAAAGCTCGCGTTTGGTGCCAAAACTCGACCCGACAAATATTAATGTGTTTGGATGAACGATGCGAGGAATGATGAACAACGATGAATGATGTGAGGAATGATAAACAACAACAAATGATGAATGCACGAGGAATGATGAACAACGACAAATGATGAATGATGAACGATGCGAGGAACGATGAACAACGAAAAATGATGAATGATGTGAGGCATGATAAACAACGACAAATGATGAATGATGAACAATGCGAGGAATGATGAACAACGACAAATGATGAATGATGAACGATGTGAGGAATGATGAACAACGACAAATGATGAATGATGAACGATGCGAGGAATGATGAACGATGTGAGGAATGAGGAATGAGGAATGATGAACGATGTGAGGAATGAGGAATGATGAACGATGTGAGGAATGAGGAATGATGAACGATGTGAGGAATGAGAAACGATGAACAACGACGAATGATGAATGCGGAACGATGAACAACGACGTGTTGCAGGCAGAAGCTGTTCGTCACCGTGCCGGCGCTGAAGCTGAACGTGTCGGACGAGAAGCTGCTGCTACTGCTCGAATTCCTGCGCAACATCCCCCTGCCGAGCCTCAGCGGCTACGAGGACCTCGATCTCACCGAGGTCGACGCCCCCTTGCGGGAGATTCGTGAACCGTCAGTACTGGTAGGTTGCACGTGCCGGTCGGGGGTGTGACAGCAGGGTTGAACGTTGCAGGATGCACCTTACTAGGTTGTCTACGTATGTGGTGCGGTAGTGCGTGGTGGAATTTTGCAGTGATATCTACTATGTTCGCCTGCTGTCGGGTCACTGAGGTAATCAATATTGTACACTAGATAGACTGCTAGTTAGTACTGCGTGGCTGCCTGCTGAATGAAGCGATATAGTCCAGTCATAAAGTGCCAAATAAGGCCTCTACCGGGAAATCGAGTGAAACAAGCTGGATTCTTCACTAATGTGTTGGTATTGGTCCATATAAAACCTAAAAAAAAGTTACAAAATTTTTGTTGGTCGGAAACTTTTTTACGGGCCACGCCCTTTTTCCGATTTTCGCGATTATGGAAAAATTGTGTAAATCTTACCTGAACACTTTATAGTCATGTTAATAGGGGTATTTTGGGGCAGGGAGTCGATTCCAACAGTCAGTTCATTCATAAATTGAATGGTTAAGGCTTAATTGACCAATTAAGCTCAATTAAGCTCAGTCGCGTACCAAAATTTCGGTGTTTTCTGACATATTGCATGTTAGGTATGCTTTCTGGTTGTTTTTTTTGGATGCCCGATCGAATTCTGGTGTTATTTAAACACTCAGAAGTATGATTTATCCCTAAAAAGTGTTATAGATCGATCATTAATAACCATACGCGTTACTGTTTAAATTTAAACAAGTATTGATTATGAAGCTTTACGAACTCGACAACCCGAAGATACTTAAAGAATCATACACATTATATAGGATTTGATTGAATACAAACAATAGAATATTATTTGTCCTTTAACAGAACTATTGTATCACAATCGTCCAGGAAGAGTAACAAGTCTAATGCACTGTACAAAAAATTAACTTGCAGCATGTCCCCAAATCAACCGAAGCTATCAAAATAGTCCTATATATCATAACTTATAGTACAATAATTACTACAATATTATAACTTATAGTACAACAAGTTTAGTCGATAAATTGGAAAAGTCAATCTTCTGGGACATCTTCTTCGGCGTCCCCTACCGATCCTTGATCTTCCTCATCATCTCCGGTTTCCTGGTTGCCAGTTACACTTACAGTCTGGTTCTCACAGTTGTCACAGCCACAGAAATCAGTACACTGGAGGTCAAGCTGCTTGCAGCCACATCGCTTTGAAGAGCAGTTAGTTTTACACCCACAGCTACGATGGATTGAGACTAAAATTGAGAAGAGAAAGGTGCTCACTGCCTTGTCTGTGGCTAGAGCGGTCCTAGTACTTGCCCCATTCGGAGTTCAGAACTCTCACCATTTGATTCTGATTGGCCGCCAAGGAGTGCTGTTAAATAGTCCACTTCTGTACCTGATGGTACCTCTGGAGACAGTGTACTTCGCAGCTCTTGAGGAGGTGTGGCAGAGCTCGTTCTGCTTGTGTCAACTTCTCCTGTACAGCCCTCCTTTCTTTTCTGTTTGCAGAGCATAAGGAATGAGCTTTGTTGGCGCTAATATTTGACTAGTTCTGACAGCTAAGGGATGGTATCTGTTGACTTGGTGTCCTACATCTTGCGTGATTATATTGCATCTCACTCTCTCTGCGTTTAACAATCCGGTTCTGTTGGACTCTGCCCTACGAGTTAGATTTTCGGCTGTTGCTCGCTGTGCATCTTTCTTCCAGGATGCTTATTGTACTTTGAGACATTACCGCTTTCATAAGATCCTGGAGAAGATGTACAGCTAGCACAGGTAACCCGAATTTGCTTACTGTAGGCCAGTGAGTACAATATCAGGACCGGCATTGTTAGAAGCAGGGAGTGAGATTCATTTATCTCAGTATGTATCACCAAGTCAAATCTAGATCCTCCCTTGCTGCTCACTGAGACAAGTTGCTGCCATAAAGCTCTTCCGTTATATGATGGCTGCTGCGCACGAAGAGTATAAGGCAGTCGTTGTACAGTACAGAAAGTTGTATCCGATCAGACGGCCCTCCCTGTCCCACGCTTCCTCTAGCTTGCGAAGTGACCACTGTATCTCAGAGTGTACCAGATCTAGGATACAAGTAGTGGCCAGTTTAATCACTCTTGGACGCCGCCCTCTAAAATATGGGTTGTGGTCTTGATAGCTTTCCTGATGGGGCAAGTATTGACGGACCCCTTCGTACATCAGGACATTCTAAGGCAGCGTCCTGGCCATCCTCCTCAATTTGTCTCAGATCCATTAGTCTGTGGGTCTTGTAAAACTAACTGCTCTTTCAATACGATGTGGCTGCAAGCAGGTTCTTGACTCCTAGTGTACGGAATTTCTGTGGCTGTGTACAATCTTGTGAGAAGCCAGACTGTAACTGTGTTATATCCGTCACCAGGAAAGCAGTATGTATGATGAGGAATGAATCAAGCTGATGCTGCGTTAGGGACGTTCCGATGAAGATTTTTCCCAGTGATGATTGATCGTTTTGCCAATTTTTAGTCGGATCTAATATGACTTGTTCGACTATAAGTTATAAGATTGTACTATATTATTGTTACTATTAAGTTATTGATATATAGGTATGACTATTTGAGTAGCTACGGTGATTTCTGGTGGACATGCTGTATTAGTTAGATTTTTTGTTATCAGTGCACTTTAGGACTTCGTTAGCTCTTCCTGTTACGATTGGGATACAGATACGTTTTGTTTAAGGGACTACGTTCTACGAATTTTTTCCATGGTAATAATTTTTGTAAAAAAAAATGTTCGCGATTTTTTTTGACATTAAAAGTAGAGAATACTAAAAAAATACCGTTACTAAATTGATAATCCTTCATTAAACTCTCATACCTGATTAAAAATGTTTTTACGTGTCTGGTTTAAATTTCGCAATAAATATCTAGACGATTTGTAATTCTCTGTTGTCTATACACTATTTCCCAGCTACTGTTCAGATTACTGGCCGTTCTTCGTCTGTTTTTCCCGCCGGCAAAATTAGTGGCAATTATAAAGAAGGTATATAAGCATGGAAAGTAAAGCAGTAATAACACTTAATTGTATTATCATGACATTGTATTTTTGTACAAATAACACACAAATATACTACTTGATGGTGCTAGAAATTCGTGACGTAATCACTTTAAAGGACAAATAATATTCTATTGTTTGTATTTAATCAAATCCTATGTGTATGATTCTTTATCGAGTGTCTTCGGGTTGTCGAGTTCGTAAAGCTTCATAATCAATACTTGTTTAAATTTAAACAGTAACGCGTATGGTTATTAATGATCAATCTATAACACTTTTTAGGGATGGATCATACTTCTGAATGTTTAAATAACACCAGAATTCGATCGGGCATCCAAAAAAAAACCAGAAAGCATACCTAACATGCCATATGTCAGAAAAAACTTTTGGTACGCGACTGAGCTTAATTGAGCTTAATTGAGCTTAATTGGTCAATTAAGCCTTAACCGTTCAATTTATGAACAAACTGACTGTTGGAATTGACTCCCGGCCCTGCCCCAAAATACCCCCATTAACATGTATAACATGACTATAAAGTGTTCAGGTAAGATTTACACAATTTTCCCATAATCGCGAAAATCGGAAAAAGGGCGTGGCCCGTAAAAAAGTTTCCGACCAACGAAAATTGTGTAACTTTTTTGGGGGGTTTATATGGACCAATACCAACACATTACTGAAGAATCCAGCTTGTTTCACACGATTTCTCGGTAGAGTGCACTTTATGACTGGACTAATATATGTGTCTAGCTAGGTACTGATTAACTCGCGATTGATTTACACAGAAGTCTCTGTTATTTGTCTGATGTATATGAGGTGCGCTTAGTACAAGGGTTTACGGTGACGTGTGTTCTGTGTGTTCTGTCGTCGAGATTGGTCAGCCATATCTAAGCACGATACTTTTTTCTGATGTTTAAGCTACCAACCCAGATCAAGATTCGATTTGTTGCATTGCTTAAAACTGTTGTAAGCAAAAAAAAACGATTTTTTGTTTGCCGTGTCTCCGCAACCCTGAATATTTTATCATACACGAGCACAAGCAATACAGAATACGTGCAAGTGTGCGTGAATTATTTTCACGTGTTTTCTTTTATTTAAAGATGTCTCCTAGTCTGACCTGTCTTGTATTTTTAGCTCATCTGACATAGTCAGATGCAGCTTGTAGAATCGCTACGGAATCGTCCGTCGTCCGTCCGTCCGTCCGTCCCGTCCTACCGTATCGCCGTACCGTCAACTTAGTTGGGCAACAAAATCTTAAACGGTAGTGCGATCGTTACGGTCACGAATATTCGGTTCGTTGGGGGGGATCGTCAAAACGAGTTGGGATCGTCGAAGCTGTGGGGTCAAAGGTCAAAGGTCAAAGGTGTAAAAGAAGGGGGAACATTCACTCTTAACTTAAGGTATAGGAGGAACATGCACGAATTGCGAGCACAAATCTTAAACGCTCGACCATAGGCTTTCGTGATTATGTCCGGTGTAGTAGCATCATGGTAGAAAAGCCCATCACTGCCGAAAATGGAGGTGCAGAAGCAGGTCTAAAGGTTCAATGGGTCACAGGGCAGATTTTAGACATTTCTGAGGACATGGTCTGACGGAGCGCATTGAAAAACTTTTTTTGTTTCAGCGGTGACGCTAGCATTTTTATGGCTTTATTGAAAGGACATGAAATGTCCCTTCTGCTGACATGCGAAGAGTAAGGTGTTGGAGTAACCTTTTGACCCTCAAGAGGAGGGTTAAACATGGATTTGTTTAGCGTGTCCTGTCTAGTAAAGAATTGGACTGCGCGGGTTTGCTTAGTAGTACATTCCTATACATGCCTGGATGTACGAGGCTGCATTTGTCACATGTGAAATTTCAAGATTAGCTAAATTTGGTTGAAGAAGTTTTATGCTCCTTAAATCCTATAATTTCTATGCATTCTTGTACTGTCAGTATTTTACATGTAACGTATGCCACTGGCAGTGCCACTGGCCAGTTTTTCGGGGGGGGGGGGGGGGGGGGGGGGGGGGGGGGGGGGGGGGGGGGGGGGGGGGGGGGGGGGGGGGGGGGGGGGGGGGGGGGGGGGGGGGGGGGGGGGGCCCCCCCCCCCCGGCCCGCCCGCGCCCCCCCCCCCCCGCCCCGCCGCCCCCCCCCCCATGTGGTGGTGGGCTGTGTAGTTTTTTGCCTGCGTTAATTAGTTGCAGGTGGCAAGCTCTCTATTGCAGGCCTGTAGGCTTGCGTAGGTAAATGGATGAGTGCTTACCTATTCTTCTTGCAAATAGTTGTTTGCTTACCTATGTACGATTGGGAGCTTCCATCTTTATCTAAGACACTTTAAACGTATCGGCGCCATCGTCGTGGCAACTTTCATATACGATCGCACACTAACATTCCTTTGAGAAGGTTATCGCTGATAACATCTCCCTGTGCATTCCTACGTGCTGTGTATGTGAAGCACATATTTGGCACTAACAGGTTATTACTAGAACTCCCACCTCACTGCCACACCACGAGTCAGCAGAGTTCACCGGCAGTAGACGTTAGATGAGCGCTGCTAATGTCACTCCTCCGCGGCAACTTGTTAATGTTAATTTGAGTGAGGTTTGTTCACTTGTGTACATTACGTATGTGTTTTACAATTTATTTACAGCATGTGAATTTGTTTGAATGGTTTGGAAGCTGTGCATGATCAGGTAGTGAGTAGAACACTAGCTTCTCTGCTATAGAGTCGGTGTTTTTGCATGTGTGCCCCCATCATCAGCTGGTACTTGCCATGATGGGCACTGGTGTGCATTCGTGTCTATGTTCTGTCATTTCATGATCGTCTGTTAAAGGCAACCGCACGAGGTTTGTTAAATGTTCACATGCATGCGTAGACCTGTTATATACATGCGCGTGCACACACACACACACACACACACACACACACACACACACACACACACACACACACACACACACGCGCGCGCGCGAACACACACCTCTATACTTATTAGAGCAACTTTCTCACCAAACTGTATGTGACTCACAGTCTATCATTGCCTATCATTCAGTGAATAAAGATTTAACATCAGCATCTTAGTTTAGTCAGGCTAAAATCTGGCTCGGAGCTCAGTTGCGATAATTAGTTAACTGTAATGAATGGTTTAATTATCTTATTCTGCCAGCCTCCTTTCCCATCATCTAACGAGTATACAGTTTGAGAAACGAATCCTCGTAATGCCACATGATGGCACTACTTGTAGTTGAAAAAGAACACAGACATGAAGTACCAGCCTACGTTGCAACAGTTGCGGAAGATGCGCACTGCCGTGCACTGCAACTCTGTTGCATCAGGAAGAGACCAGCTGGATCGGGCCAGAAGACGGATGCCCGAGGATTCGGGTAAACAATGGCCAGCCTTCGTTTGTAAAATTGGACACATTTCATTTTGTCATCATGCAGCAACTGTTAAAACAGTGAAAGTTGGGTGCCATGTTCTTGCATGAGTGAGGTGACGCATTCATGTGACTCGAGCATGACCAGTTATGTAACAAGTGTGGTTGATTTTCACAGGAGAACTGTTCTTCTCTTCATCGGATGTGTCGGAGGATGAAGAAGATATTGGTGCTAAAGGTCATGCTATCGTTGATGAGAGTGCAACCTCCAGCAACGCTGTTCAACGTCTTCTGAGGTAGGCCATGCTGCAAACACACACGTTACTAAACAATGACCATATTGGCACCAGCAGTTGAAAATTGAGCCAACTTCAAGTGGCCATGTTTTTCTCATTTCATAATCTAATATGAATTAGTATGAAACTTATCGTGTAACTAATTTTACATTTGGCATTCTAGTTGAACTGATTTAGTAGTGTCAAAATATATGTGGACAGACACTTTTTTGACCAATATGAACAGGGTATAGAATAATGTAACTCTGAATTACATGGGGACTACCGTATATACTCGCGTAATAACCGCAAATTTGGCCTCAGATTTCAACCCTGTATTTGCTCTGCGGTTTATAAGTGTGTCATACCGTGAGGGGAAATATTTGTTCATCGATCGTTGCTGAGTCTTGTCACTCGCGGGGGCGATAATGGGTGAATCTAACATTCATTAAATAAATGCATAAATCGTGTTTGCCTAAATGTTTTGATAATGTAGTATTAACTACTGATAGAAAATTTAAACATTTTAGACCTACGATGTGTAATAAAGCCTAAATTGTCATCAACTTTTATTTGAAGCGTCATCACAAAATGCCATGGCATTTGTGGCTCAAATCTACAAACTGAGATTTATGCCACATACAATTTGGCACCTCGTATCTTTCAAACTTCCTTATATCCGCAGTACATCAAACCAGGTATAAATAGACCTCTTCGAAATAGAAGAAGTAGAATATAAATAGACCTCTTCGACCCCTTGGAAACATGCGTCTCAGAAGTTGTTAACGACCGCGTTGCCTCGCAGGTTCGTGCTGGGTGAGTTTGTCGTGCATGTGTCGCGCTCGGTGGCGCATGCCGACAAGCCGTACTTAATGCTGCGGGCGGACCGGCTGCGCAGCGACGTCGCGCTGATGGCGTACGGCGTCGCCGTGCACGCGAGCCTCGGCGGCGTGCAGCTCGTCGACAAGATCAACACGGGCTCGTCGGGCGAGTACCTCGAGATGGCGAGCTCGCGCGGCAGCGATGGCGAACTCATCTCGGTCGTCTACAGACAGGTGAGACGGAGACGCAGGCATAACTGCATGGTGAACTTATCAGGGGCGTTGCAGCATCCGCTCCACGTTAGTTGAGCTACGGCTCGTGTCGTCGTATCCGAAGTATCGGTACTAATCCGAATCAACTGAGGGAAGAAAAAAAAACGAAAATTTCTAAGTGTCAGTACGTGAAGCCTGTTATTCGTTAAGTTTAGCTCTATTAGATGGTGGTATGCGTCATTCGTTTTTCGACCGTGCGTAGTTTTTTGTTGTCGTTATATGCGTGGGTTTATGTCTGCAGGTTCGCACCGACTGTCCGGACCTGAAAGATGCGTACAACAATACACTGCGGCATCTGGCAGTGAGATTCAACAGTCTGAGTGTGGTCATTGACAAGACAGCCTCTATGTACCTGCGTAGATTCATCCGAGGTCTAAAGAAGAAGTAAGTATCGAAGTTGCTAGCTGCTCGATATTCAAATCGATGTGAAACCCAATATCTTCACCAGGTCAGGTGCACTGTACATCAGGTGCAGAAGGATGTAGCAGCAACTGCTGTGTGCTTTGCTAAAAGAGATGTGGTTTTAATATGTCATTTGTTTGTTTTTTATTCTAACAGGGTATTTGAGGAGAAGAAGGAGTTGCCCATTACATCACCTGCAGTGCCCCAACCATCTGAGCTGCTGAAACTGAAAAATGGTACATGCCTATTTGCAAAAGCTGCTATGTTGTTATTATATAACATTGATTATTTAAGATAATTTATATGATTAGATAACTAAAGTAAGAGAGATCGCAGTACATTATTCATTAACATTGTGTTGTTAATAGACCTTGAATTGTCTGAAATGTTAAGGGTTTCACAATGGTAACTGACTCTTGGTAGGAACTACAAGACTCACTGTTTTCAGTTCCTGTATGTGCCCTCCCTGACCAAATATCATGTTTAACACACTTGCCAACCTCCCCATCAGCTAACTGTCGAATCGGTGCTCTTTGTATTGGTTCCAGTGTCGTCGGCTATAGTGCAGCTGAGTGCCAACATACACCTCGCAGATGTTGACATGAAACTGTGCGACCAGAAAACAGAGTATGCACAAGTCAGACTCGCAGGTAGGCAAACATACGTTGGGGTTGCTGTGAGACCAAACTACCTTCAGAAGTGCTCTTCGGTGTTCTGAGCCTGCAGCATTTTGCATTATTCTTTTATATCATGGTTATTCATGCGTATTTGCGGTGCCATTGCACGGTTGGTATTTAAACGATCATAATTCTGTTATTGAGGAAAGGTTGTCCCCATCAGTTCCACATTGACATAGGTACATGGGGCGCACATGTATGGTTGGTACGGTACACATGGGGAGTTAATGAATATTAGTGATGCTCCTTGAATATATGATGTATGATGTAGAGATGTTCCTTGATTTCGTACGATTGGATACTCTGTGTAATGTAACACTTTGTTTAAAAAGGCTTTGAGGCAGGCATCTCGTTGAAGAAAGCTCGCACGAGTGTGCACTTAAGCTTGGCTGGTCTTACCGTAAACTGCTGCCAGCCTGGATCACTCTACCCTGATATCCTCACAATGGAAGAAAACAGTATATTCGATTTTAAGGTACGCAGCTTTTTCGACAGTTTGACAAGAAGATAAGTTCATCGTGAGATTGCCAAACCGGATCATTAACCGTGAACGTGTCGCAGAGTAAGATGTAAGATTTGCTGTTGCGCGATGTTATGGAGGCGCAAACTTTGCGTAGATTACTTGGCAGTGGCTGGGAAGTCTGCTGCATGCATTAATCCTACGTAACTGTGACGTGACAGTACGTGAGTTACCACTCCCGTGACGTGATCACCCGCAACCGGCCGATTCCGGTCGACCACAAGCTTGACGTGAAGGTGGGGCGCGTGAGGGCCATCTACCTGCACCGATTCACCGTCGAACTCATGGTAAGTCGCAGCGTCTCGCACACGTGCGACGTGTATCGCGCGCATCTCACAAGTAGCGTATCTCGCACATCTCACAAGTAGCGTATCGCGCGCATCTCACAAGTAGCGTATCGCGCGCATCTCACAAGTAGCGTATCTCGCGCATCTCACAAGTAGCGTATCGTGCGCATCTCATAAGTAGCGTATCACGCGCATCTCACAAGTAGCGTCTCGCACACGTGCATCGCGTCTCGCTGCATGTGAATCCGTGCTTCGGGAATCACTGCATGTGAATCCATAATGCCGGCAAGCGCGTCGGGGCAGGGAACGTCCTTATATGCGGTGTGGAAAGTTAAGATGTTTTAGTTGCTGTTGACGACGTTCGCGGTTTTTTTTCGTTTGCAGAATTTCTTCGAACCATTTCTGACGAAAGAAGACGTGACGAGTGCAGTTGTGAACGTAGAGCAAACTGCTGCCAGGCAGGTAAGACTCGCCCGCACGACTCTAGCAACGTGCTTGATCGGGCACAAGTACTGAGAAACAGCTCGATGGTTCTGTTGTCTGTGGGGAGCGTGTGAATGGAGACTGCTGTCGTGCAGACGTGTGAGTGTGACAATCTTGTTGGCGTGAGAATGCGTGATGTACGTGATCCCTTATTGTGCTTCGTTTGTGATGTGGGAATGTAGGATCCATCTGGCTGTTCTTTCTCCATCCATCCACCCATTCCTCTATCCATCAACCCATCCATCTGTATCTCTGCATCTCTCTCTCTCTCTCTCTCTCTCTCTCTCTCTCTCTCTCTCTCTCTCTC